GTGTCAAAAAACGCAAATGCACACAAAAGGACCACAACCAACCAACTAAATCTCTTTGCACGGAGGGTTTATTGTCCTGATGATGCAAGTTGTGTTTACAAGAAGGGCAAAAACACCACCCAACACACCACGCCAGGAAAACCAGCGACCGCCTTGTTCCAGCGCGGCGATTTTACGCTTTTTCGCATCGCGATGAAAGTTGTTTATGAAACAAAAAAAAAAAAAAAAAGAAAAAAAAAGGGGGGGGGGAAACCCCACGGAAACACCCAACAGAAACAAGCCCAGCACCACAGACAATCGGAGGAAAGTTGGGAAGCGAAGCCCCAGCGATGCGCGGCGGAGTGGGTGTGCCCGTGGCACCGCACCATCCTGCGCGGCCGCGGCACACGCCGGGCACAGCGGGGGAAGCGGGGCACGGCGGGCGGAGGGGACGCGGGGAGGGGGCTGCCAGACAAAGGCGGGGGCCCCCACCCAATGGCAGCACGCTCGCTTTCCCACTGCCCTAGATTCCGGGCGGCTGCGCTGCGGTTCACTCGGTCAGCGCGGCACCCGGCCCGAGCCGGGAGCGTGCGTGTCTCCCTAGAAAATTCCCTTTGTCTCTCTCCCAGACCCGTTTTCCTCCTCCCACCTCCAGTTCAAACGGCACGAAGTCGATCCCGCTCCGCACTTTTCCCCGGTGTAAATTCAGACCGATTCTCATTAACACTTTGTAACAACCCGGCACCCACTGCAATATCTCTCTCCTTTCGGGCCCATCCCGAGCTGCCGGAGCAGCGTACGGAGATTGCCTCCAGACCCCACCAGATCGGGTGGCTTTCGATCCAAGATTTGGGTGAAGGAGACAAGAAGATCTGCCCCCCCGGCTGCTCCTCGGATGCTGTACATACATCCACCTCCACAGGGTGGGTGGGGGAGCTGCCATCATCAGACTTCCTCAATGGAAAAGGCTTCCTCGGACTATTTTTAAATGCTGAAAGCACTGGAGCATGTTTGGAGCTACACAAAGAACCCAATCACCTGGGTTTAGTGGAGCTTCTTGTTATTTGACTTCACCTTGTCAAGAAAGAGCAATTTATGTTAAGATCCTCTCTCGCATAATCTCATTCCTGGTGACAACAGGCTGGTTGGAGCAGGCTGGGAGATGCTGCATCAAAGGGTGTCTGTGAGCACAGGTGACAATGGATGCTATTACTGTGACGAGACCAAGAACCCTTAGAAGGACCAAAAATCCTTAGAGAGTCAAAAAATCCTTATAGGGAAAGTCTTATCTGGGAGTGGGCGCAGCATGAAGCCAAAGCAACCCCACACCTTCTCCTGACACCTGCACACACCAGACACACAAAGAAGCAGCACCACATCTCCCTAACCACAACATCTGGCCTTAAATGTGCCCTTCAGCCTCTCCCCTGGCTCCACCGACAGCAGCCCAGCTTGTCTGTGGGAGCGGGCACAGAAGTTGGATACAAATCTTGATCTGGCTAATCCACACCCACCTCAGGTCACTTCTAGGGAAGAACTGCAGCGACTGACAATTTCTGCCCCTTCCTAATTTCACAGTCTGCACAACCAAAACATGATGCCCTTCAGACACTCTCCATTCCTCCCAGCACCCACACCCCATCTCATCCCTTGATGTCCCACCATCTCCTAAAAAACCTGCTGCAAACCCCTCCAGTGCTTTGTCTTTACAATTTCATCGGCGTGGCCGTGAGAGCCAGCACAGCCATGGACAGGCTCTTGCAGGCAGGACACCCACAACCCGAGCTGGCAGGAGAAATACAAGAGCCACCAAGCACCCTGATGTGCCACACAGGCCCCAGGGAGCACTGTGCCATGGCACACACCGGGAGGTTCGGTCACCCAAACTCAGCACAGCTGCAGTTCACACACATGCCAGGGGAAGGAAGGGGGGATGACCTGCAGGAGCCCTGACTCAGGCAGACTCGCCCCTGCCCCTCACTGCAACAGGAGCACAGGCGTGGAGGTCATGGCTCCACCTCCAACCAGGGAAGGGGTGTCACTACCACCCATGCCCAGGGGTCACAGGCACCAGTCAAAGGGATTCTTGTGACTTCATCCCCTCATTCTTCCTTTTCCAGTTTCCGGTCCTCCAGTTTGCAAAGCAGCCCTTGGCACATACCACCAGCCACCCAGCTCTTTGCCACAGACCCCGGGGCACCAGGTGGAGGAGCCAGTCTGGCCAGTTCCCCCCGATCCCCCTTTCCACAGCCCCCCACCTCACCCCGGGCAGTCCCCCACCCCAGCCAGCTCGTGGCTGTGCTGCTCGAATTCAGCACACAAAGCAGCCCCAGCACAAACTGGAGCAGGGCTTCCAGCAGGCCATTGGCTCCTCGAGGGCACGTTCACAGCTCCTGGGGAAAGCAGGAGCTGCCAAGCTCAGGTTGAGTTCCTGCAGCATCCTTGCTTGGAGTGAAGCCACCCCCTCTGCCACGATTACACCTCTTCACAAACCACCCTTACACACATTCCAATAGAAATACATCGGGCTTGAGCCTTATTTACACTTAAATGCCTTTTCACTCCTTTGGCAAAGTGAGGGGTGGCCTGATAGCAGGTGGAATTCCCGTGGCCAGGTGTGTGCACCAGGGCCCCTGTGCCCAGACCCAGGCCTCTCATATCCACGCCTGCCTGTGAGGAACACTTGAATAGACATTTGATATTATTATAAAATAATCTGAAGGGATAGTGTGTTTCTTCAGAAAATAATAACTTGAAGAAAAAACTAAACCCTGTTACCAAATAAAGCTGTGAAATAATTTTTATTTCATCATTACTTTTTTCCCCCTCCCTTTTTCAAGATGTTTATCACCCTGTTCACAGGCACCCATAAAAACAATTGTTTTCCTAGAAAACCATCTGCAACGGGAGCAGTACTACCAAGGGATGACAATCTGGCATTCTGGGATTCCTGGTCAGGCATCCATGAGAGTCCAGGAATCAATCCCCCTGGGAGCCCCACACCCAGCTCCAGACCCTCTTAATCCGGCCTTCTACACAAAAACAAGGCACAGGAGACAGTAGAGACATTCCTTCAGGCCTTTAGAAACAAGTGTGGGCCGTGATCTGTGCTGGAGTGCAGAGCCACAGCTACAAGGACTGTGCTGAAGGAACCCCCAGCACAGGATCCATCCCACCCACCTCCACGGTGGGGCACAGGCTGCACCATCTGCCCCAGCAGCCAAAGGAGCACAGCCACAGCTGCATCCCCACAGCTCCAGCACACTGACATTTCAGCTTCCCAGATGTGGGAAAACCCTCACACACGCAAAAAAAATGGTGGAAAAAATCCAGGTCTGCACGTTCCTCTCCATCGCTCTGGACACAACAGGCACGTGCTGCGTTCTGAACACAGAGAAACACACCCCCTTCTCAGGAGTCTGGGGCAGCAGTGAGATCCTGGAAGAAAACAGCCCTGGCACATCTCCCCTTGGTTCCGCCTGCCGAATCCTCTTTCCCAACTTTATTAAACAAAGGGGGCCTGATTCTCCATGGCCTCACACACACCAGTGCAGAGCTGGTGCTGAGCCCCACCGTGCCTGCCCGTGCTCCACTCCCGGCAATGTGAAGGCAGCACAGGAGGATCAGGATCGGGGCCAGTGGGATCTCCCGGGCCAGACCCTCACCCCTTCCTGCCCGTCTCCCCAAGTCCCCAGTGAGGGGCCCCCATCCCAGTGTGAACGCCAGAGCCAGAGCTGCTCCCTCGGCTGCAGACGCCCCAAGTTTTGGGGAGGTCAGCACCCCCGGACTCCTGCCCACTTTCCATCCCGGAGAACCGGGACCGGTCCGTGGGAACCGGACTCTGGCTCCAGGGCTGGGAGCAAGCAGAGCCTCCGCAGGCCCCATTGTTCCCACCGCACGCCCTAGCGTCAGAGATGTCCAGCACTGAGCCATTTGTGTCCCTCTCCCCGTGGCTTCCCCTTGTGCACCTCAGCCCTTCTCGGGGCACTGGGGGTCATCACCCCCCGGGTCCCGCCACAAACCCCCTGCTCAGGGCCCTTCGATCCCAACCCACAGGGGAGCATCTGCCCATGCAGCCGCAGGCTCTGCCCATCGCACTTCCAGAGCGTCAAGTTACTTGTTCAGAGAAAGAAAAAAAAGAAAAAAAAGCCCAACACTTAGCCGCACTATTATATTTTTTTTTTTCTCTGTAGCGACACAAAACTTCTCTCGGCAGCGCCGTGCCCCGACTCCCGCAGTGCCCACGGGAGGCGCGGGGCCCCGCACCGCACACCCGGGAGTGGTGGGGGTGGGCGAGGGGTGACTTAAGAGTGGGTGTGGTATGGAGATATATATATATATATACACACACAGATAGATATATATATGTAATTTTTTTTAAAGCCCTCCTCCATTCCACCTCGCTCCGAACGAAGCCGTGAGAACAAAAGCATCACTGTGGCGGCGCGCGGGCAGCGGCTGCGGGGGGCCCACGCGGGACGGCGGGTCCCGCTCCGGGGTCCCCCCGCTCCGGGGTCCCTCCGCTCCCGGGGGCGGCGGGAGGAGCTCGGCTCCCACCCGCTCACCGGCCGCTCGGAGCGAGCCCGGCACCACCACACCCCCTCCGCCCGGCCAACAAAGGGGGACTCCGAGGCGCGGGGCCGGGCTCAGCCTGCACCCCCGCCCTTCCCCCGCCTTATTCCCAGTTTTTTTTTTCTTAAGGAGAGCGCGGTCGAGCTCGGCTCTTTGGCAGAACCGGGGAGCGGCGCGCGGGGCTCCGGTGCCGGCGGCCGGACAAGCGCCGGCAGCATTCCCACAGACCCCCCATCCCAAAACCCCCGTGCCGGGAGCGCGGCCACCCGCCCACAGCCCGGGAGCCCCGGGCTTTGTCCCCGGCGGGGCCGAGCGGCCCCGGCCCCGAACAATGGGCGGGAGGGAGCGGCGGGGGCGGCGGCGGGGCCCCCCGGCCGCGGGGGAGTGTCCCGGGGCCGGCGAGCGGCGACACCGGCAGAGATCGGGGGTACAGGGGGCCCGGCGCTCACCTTGCCGTCCCACGATCTCGGCCACGTGCTCGGAGCTGGGCACCGGGACGCACTCGGTGGTGTTGGAGCTGCTCTTGAGCCGCAGCTCGGCCTCCTTGTAGAGCGCGCACAACTTGGGCTCCGCCGCCCCGGCGCTGGGCGCCGCCGAGCCCTTCGGGGCCGCCGGGGGCGGCGGCGGCGGCGGCGGCGGGGGCTGCTGCGGCGGCGGCGGCGGCGGGTTATTGTTGTTGTTGTTGCTGTCCTCCACCAGCACCACGGCCGAGGAGGAGGAGGAGGAGGAAGGCTCGCCTAGCCCCAGCAGGCAGAGCTGGTCCAGGGCGAGCTGCAGCGCCCGGTCATCCTCAAGCAGCGCTCTGTCTTTGCCGCTCCCACCGAAACAGCCTAAATCGCCGAAACCCCCGTTCCTTTCCATTATCCCTGGGACTACCAGGCTAGGCATGGCTAACAAAGGCTTGGGAGGGGGCTGGGGGGCGGCGGGGCCGGAGGTCGCGGGGGCAGGCGGTGTGGGGAGGGGGACCCGCTGTGACACTGGGAGGGGGATGTAGGGACGCGAGTGGATGGGTGACACGAGTGGATGTGGGATGTGGGTTGTGGGGGACCGTCTGGGACACGGTGAGGGGGCTGCAGGGGACCCGCGGGGACACGAGTGAAGAGGCTGCACGGGCACCCACGGTGACACGGGTGGAGGGTGGTGTGGGGACAGCCTGGGACACGGAGGGGGGGCTGCTGTGGGGAGACACATCGTGCAGAGGATGGAGGGGCTGTGGGGGCACACACTGTGCCATGGTGTAGGGGCTGCAGGGGGACCACAGGTTGCCACCAGGGGAGGGGGATGCAGGAGGATCCACCATGTCACCGGTGGAGGGGCTGCAGAGGGACATGCCATGGCATGGCTGGGGGGGTTAGGGAGGTGCGAGGCGACCAGCCGTGCAGGGAACCGGTGGAAGGGACTGCAGGGGAAGCCACTGTGACCAGGCTGGAGGGTGGTGCAAGGGGATCAGGCATGCCATACCATGGGTGGAAGGGTCTGTGGTGGGACCACTGTGCAATGCGTGGAGTGGGCTGCAGTGGGATTCCCTGTGTCACACGTGGAGGGGGCTCCCTGGGGACCCACCATGCAGTGGGTGGGTAGAGGGAGCTGCGTGGGCACCCACGGAGACACAGGTGGAGGGGCTGCGTGGGCACCCACTCTGGGCTCCATGAGTGTGCACACCCCTGGCAGAGAGGGATCACAGGAAAGAAGGGTCTGTGAGGGAACTCATTGGTTGCACCCAGCATGGAGGGGTCATGAGTGGAAGGGGTCTGTGTGGGGACCCGCCATGTGCCCCCCACTGTGGAGGGGTCTTGGGCGAAGGAGAGTTTGTGTGGGGACCTGTTGCTGCCCACACATGAGGGGTACTGCAGAGCTGTCCAGGGCTGGGATCCATCCAGAGACCCACAGGCACAACAGGGACCCCTGGGAGGGGTGATGGCTCGGCAGGGACACCTTGGGTACAGGCTAGCAGGGCACCAGGGTCAGCAGGGTGAGTGGTGGCACAATGGGGCAGGACCCCCCCCCTCCCATGGACAAGGAGCTCACTGCTTCGTCCTCCTTCCTTGCGAAGGAGGACATGGCCTTCCAGAAGGGTTCCCCAAAAACATGGAGACCTCAGTCTTGCAGTGGGAAGACCCCCAACACGGCCACAAGCATTTGAGGGACAATACTGCATGTTCACCCGGCCTGGGAATTATGCAAAACAAGAAGGGGGAGCCCCCCAGCCCCCCAAGGCCTTGTAGTGGCTCCAGGCACAGCCAGGCTTGGTGAGGCTGCTGGGGCTCAGCTCCCCACCCTTGGCTCTGTGCCCCAGCAAAGCCCCCTCCTGCAGACTGGGAATGCTGGGGGGGCCGTGGGACAGCCCTGCTCCCCGGGCTGGCCTTTCTCATTGAAATGAGGAGGATTCAGGCGGAGGGAAGCATTGACAATTGCTCCCCAGCTCCCAGCCAGCCGGGCTGGGCGGTGAGCGTGTGAGCGCGCGGTTCTCCCCTCGCCCCTTTCTTCTCTCTGAATCAAACCAGATGTCTCCCATGAAATGAGATTGCCGGAGCTCACACTGGAGAGGGACAATGCAGAGGGATGCGAGCTCCCGCCGAGCCACATCGCGCTGCAGCTCTGGCAATGGCCACGGCTGCGGCGAGGGCTGGGGGGTGGTGGCACCGGTGCCTTGTCACCGGGGCTGGACCTTTCCACCCCCCACTGTATCCTGTGTGATTTGCTCTCTCTGGCTCTGGGATCCTTGCGGGAAGGTTTTTTTTCTTTTCCCCCACCTCCCCTTTCTGGGTTTACCAGCAGAAGATCTCAGCTGCGGCTAAACTCGGCAGATGGGGCACCCAGCACAAGGAGATGGCTCATCCACTGACTCAGCCGGTAAGGTGCTGCTGGAGCTCTCCCTGTGAGTTTGCCCCGGCACTTTGGGAAGGGGAATTTCTGCTTTCGGTTTGGTTTTGGCATCCAGGTTTCCTGATGTGTAGTACAAACTCAGGGAGATGCTGGGACACGGCCGGAGGGGCAGCTCCCCTCTGCGCGGGACCCGGCGTGGAGCTGCTGTGGGTTAGAGCTTGTGGTGGCTGTGCTGTAGGTGTGCACAACAAAAAAAAGGGAAAAAAAGTAAAGCTAAGGGCAGGAGAACCCACCCACTGCTGTGTTTTGTGCAGCTCATTTTGGTCATGCTGTAGAGCACTGTCCTGAATTGGGCTTTATTTCTTTTTTCACCGTTGTGTGGTGATGGGAGTCCTGAGAGTGGCAGTTTGGGATATTCCTTCTTCTAAAAGGAATGTCTGTTTGTTTTGGGATGTGATGGATGGTGGCTCCATAAGGCACACACACATCCCGTGGCAAGTTTTAACACAGGCTGGGTGTGCCCCACTAAATGGCCAAAAATGTGCATTTAATGGACATGGAATTTCACACACGCACACACACTGCTGGTTCCCTTGCACACACCTGCTGGCTGTGGCTCACTCCACGCTTACAACCAGGTGAAACCCTTGTGTGTGTCTGTGTGAGCATGTGTTACAGGTGCAAACACAGAATTAGGTACACTGAAATATGCCCCAAAACCACGTGTGTGTGTGTGTGTGTGTACGAGGCAGGAGGTGGCACACACGTCTCCATGCAGGGGTGTTCCCAGCGTGGGTGAGGATCCTGTGTGTGCCCATGTGCTGGTGGTGGGAACTATGGTGTTCTGCCCTGTAAATTATGGACTTTTCACTTGTCCAAGTTGGATCTTGTGCATGGGGCTGGTAGCAATGCCTGCTCTGGAGGCAGCATGTCATTTTAGGGACATGGTTTTGCTTCCACCTCCATTTTAAGCTCTGTCACGGAGGTCTCAGGAGAAGAAAGTGGTCCTGGAAATCAGAAAGTGAAAGGAAAAAAGGGAAAAACTATGGACGTCCAGCTCTGAGCATTCCAGCAGCATGAGCCAGGCCCAGAAATCACCAAACTGACTAAAAAGTTTGTGTGACTCCAAAAAAAAAAAAAAAATTGAAAGTTGAGTTTCTTCTCATTTGCCTTCTTCTGGGGCTGTCGGATTTCACTCTGGTTACATCACCTTGCTTTTCTGCACAGCCACAGGGTCTAGAAACTTACTTTAAAAACCAAAAATTCATACTCACACAGATTCACATGACTCACAGAGCTGGGAATTTAAGGCAACCAGAAATGCTCCTAGAAAAATCACAGGAATTGGCAACATGGGCAGTGACTAATCCTGATGGGTCCCTGATAGCAGCATCTCTCAGTTCATACAATATTTTGGGGGCGTAGCTGGGCTACAACCAAGACTTTGATCCTCTTCCCAGTGATAGCAGCTGCTTGGGAATGATCTTACCTCCCGTCTGGCATCGCTGCCTCTGGGGAAGCTGGATTTCAGGAGTAATTCAGGTTAAAGTTAGCTCTGCCAGGTGGCTGGAGCCAGCTCCGTGAGCTGGAGTAGGTCAGAGGGGCTCACGTTGTGGAGCTGTTGGATCACTCACAGCTCCCTGGATAGGGGGGTAAAAGGTTATTTTTGGGGGGCAAGTAGTGCTGGATTGCAAGTGAGGATTTCACCACGGGTGTAGTCTCTGCACAGCTCTATCCACTCAGCGAACACCCTGCCGAGGTTTTGGCAGAAACGCGGTGTTTCTAGTTAAAAAGCGGGTATTTCCAAATGTTTGAAAATCCACATCCCCGAATTACTGTCGGGGGGGAAAAAAGTATTAATTAAAGCCAGGGATGGCAGCGGAGTCCTCGGAGCGGAGAGGTCGGGATCAGGCAGCGGCATCACGTGCCCCTTGCCGAGGCAGGAGGCTGCAGAACGATCAAAGAAAAGGGAGAAACTGCAAACTGCAGCTGCTGCCGGTGCCAGAGCCATCGGGGAGGGGTGGCCAGGCACCACGGCTGGTGACACAAAGTTCTGTGGGAGGCAGCAATAAAGCTGACATTGACTGAGGAGGTGCCAGCAGCCTGTCCTCAGGCAGAACAGCGACTTAGAGTCACCATCAAGAGCTAACGCAGGGAGAAACTTTCTGGATGAATTTGTGTCATCAATGCGAAGCCGAATTTGGCACTTCCCAGTGCTGCATCCCTCTGCCCACCGACATGACCCAAGTCTGGGGGAAAGGTGGCAGCTGCTAGGAAAGGTTTAATGCTGTGGAAGCATCCCACGTCCCACAGACTGAGGTGATGAGCTGGTGGTGGGGAGGACAGGGGGAGCAAACACCTGCTAGGAGCCAGGACACCTTTTTTAGGCTTTTCTTCATTTTCATCTTGCATAGAATCATCTAATATCCTGAGGTAGAAAGTTTAAGCTGGGATACCATCGCCACGAGTGCTTTGAGACATCATCTCCTTGTCCCTGGACAGCTCATTTCAAGAACTGCTCAGCTGCACATGAAACAGAAGTACCCCAAATTCTGGGAAGCTGTAAGGGCTCCCTTCCACTCTGAGCCCACGTGCTGGCCATTCCCTGTAGGCCATGGTTCAGGGGGGACTCCGTGGTGGCCGATCCACCCGGGATGTCCCTCCATCCCCGTCTGTGTCCATACAATTCATCTGCTGCCTGTTGACATTAAACCTCTTTGCTTTGTCAATGGGACTGGCAGCAAGAGGAGTCTCACTGTCCGTGGAAGGATCCTGAAGTGCTTTGCAAACATTTGTTAATTAAGCTGTTCTATGAGATAAGTAAATTAGCGCAAAGCCTGATCCAAAGCTCCTTGAAGTCCATTGGTTTTGGTGAGCCCAGGTCCATGGGATCAGGCCTGGGAGACCAGGTTTTAAAAGCCCTCAATTTTGTTAAGAGCTCAGCATATTGGCTGCAGATGGGTGCTAAGCTACAGGGACAATCTGGCGCTGGGATCGCGGGTGCCGCACCCTTGGCACACTTGGTTGTGTTCATAACGTGGAGGGTTTGGACTTTCTAGTCA